ATAGGAAAATGGAATGACTAGACAACGTTTTTAACAAGGAGACACTATGAATTTATATTTTATTGATTTGTTTCATTTTTGTTATATATTATGTTTTTAATTGTATTTATGACATTTTAAGCATTGGATTTTAGTCTGTTAACCTCTTTGAGTCACCTATGGGCTAAGAAAGGCGGTATACAAATACAGTAAATAAATAAATAAATAAATTACGATTACAGTTATTACTATTAAGATGTTATTACTGTTACTTTCTGGAAGACTTTTTCGTGGGGTGAAAAAATTCAACACAAACCACCTCTCTGCTTCCCAAATCTTCCTCTACTTTTTTCCTTCTTCCTCTTCAACTTCCTCTTCCACCTCCTCTTTTTCTTTCTCTTCTCCCTTCTCTTCCTCCTCCTCCTCTTCTCCTCATTCCTTCTTACTATTATTATTAGGAGTCTGTTATTAGTTAGGCCTATTTAAATATTATTATTATTATTATTATTATTATTATTATTATTATTAATAATAATAATAATAATAATAAAATGACCATCGGGCTATATGATGAGTGTTCATGAAAGATTTCCCCTGACCCACTTCCTGTGGACTGAGAGCAATGAAATTTGGCCCAGTTCTGAGTCCTTCTCTCCATGGGTGGCACCTTGGGACACACACTTCTCCAATCTTTTGAAGCAACTGTTAACACCTCTCTTGTAGAAGTCAACAGGTTGCTCCAAAAGCCACGTTGAGACTTTGGAAATTAGCGTCTCGTCATCTGAAAAATGCTTGCTCTTCAAAAATAGCCTCATTGTTGGAAAGAAGTGGAAGTCTGATGGTGTGAGATCAGGTGAATAAAAAGGATGCGGTTGAATTTCAAAGCCACAGGAGCATGCTTCTTCCACTTGGTCAACAGGTGAGTTGTGAACTGATGCGTTGTCTTGCAGAAGGCAAAGGACACCTTTGGTGAGCATGCCACATTTTCTCTTGGTTTGGATGGCCTCCCACAATTTCTGTAATAATGAAGCCTAGTATGCCCAGTGATCATGTACTCTTTGCTAGGAAATCCACCCGTACTCCCCCGTGCTGGTCCCAAAATACTGTGAGCATGACCTTGCCTGCTGAGAGTTGGGCATGTGTTTTCTTTGGAGGTGGTGAGTCCAGATACTTCCATTACATCAACTGGACTTGAGTCTCAGGATCAGAGTGCTGGATGCAGCTTTCACCCTGTGTGATCAGTCTTTCGACAAAGTCTTCCTGGTTTCCATGGCACATCATTGTCAAGAAAGCCTGACAGCATTGGACTTGTTCCTGCTTCTGGAAAGGTGTGAGCAGCCAGGGGACCCAGCGAGTGGATGCCTTACACAGGTGAAGATGGTCTGGTGTGATTTTTTCCATGGACTCTAGAATCATCTTGGCATTTTGGGCTAGGTGGCGAATGGTTATGGGACGATTTTCCAAAATGGTGACCTCCACCTGTTAGTGTTCATCAGTAGCAGAGTGGGCTCACCCTGGAATGGGAGTCCAACCACATTGGAATGGATGATGCCAGTTCTTGACTCCATCGTATGATGGGAAATCCTCACCGCGAACCTCTTTCATCTCATTGAATGTCTCCTTTGGTGTGCGGCCTTTCAAGGAAAGGAACTTGAGAACTGCTCTGGATTCCACTGGGTCCATCTCAAACTTCGCACCACTTCAGCACCTGTCAAATCAAGACCATTATCAGTTCTGAGTTGTAAATTGGCACAAAAACTATGTGCCCCCGGTGGCTCAGTGGGTTAAACCCCTGTGCTGGCAGGACTGAAGTCGCAGGTTCAAATCCGGGGAGAGGCGGATGAGCTCCCTCTATCAGCTCCAGCTCCCCATGCGAGGACATGAGAGAAGCCTCCCACAAGGATGATAAAAACATCAAATCATCCGGGCGTCTCCTGGGCAACGTCCTTGCAGATGGCCAATTCTCTCACACCAGAAGCGACTTGCAGTTTCTCAAGTCGCTCCTGACACGACCACAAAAAAAACCAACGTAAACTATAGGCACTAGGCTTGGTTGATTCCCCCCCCCCCAAAAAAAGGTTTAAAACTTGTTTTGTATGTAGGGGGCACTGGTAGTTCAATTCTAGAGTAACTTCTGAATTTGGAATTTTCTGAAACTTATGAATTGCTTCGTTAATGGCGGACACAATTGCACATGGAAAACAGCACTGGCACTGGGGAAACTCCATGGCCTTCTCCCTCCCTCATTTTCACACCAATCTTGATGAAACTTGATATATTGCTACAACACATCCTCCTCTGTTAGCATACCAAATTTCAACATGTTAGGACACGTGAGAAAAAAAAGTTTCCCGAAATGACTTTATTAATTTCACCCTCTCCCTCCCTCCCAAACATACTTTTCCTTCTTCTTTGGAACAGGACTGTTAGGACATGTTCAAAATATAGACCCCAGAAAAAAGGGAGAGACCCCCAATAAAAATACAAAACCTTTAGTGGTGAGCAAAAAAGAAGTTTCCAGAAATGACTTTATTAATTTCACTCTCTCCCCGCCTACCAAACAAATTTTCCCCCTCTCTCTTCTTTGGCTCCAAACCCTTCCTCTCTCAAAATCTTCCCTTCTCCCTTGCCTTCCTCCGTTATCCAAAACTCCTTTCCTTTGGCTCCAAACTCTTTTTTTCCACCCCAACGCAACATCAACAAGCAGCAGCAGCAACAACAGTCCAACCACCCCTCTCCCTTCCCTGGCTGCCAATGAGCCTTCTAGCCATGTGCTTGGGTTTATACAGCAACTAGCCATCCCCTACCACGCATTGCTGTGGCCCACATGGGGTTTCTGTGTGGGAGGTTTGGCCCAATTCTATCGTTGGTGGAGTTCAGAATGCTCTGTGATTGTAAGTGAACTATAAATCCCAGCAACTACAACTCCCAAATGTCAAGATTATATTTTCCCCAAACCCCACCAGCGTTCACATTTGGGCATATTGAGTATTCGTGTAGAGTTTGGTCTAGATCCATCAACTGGTGGGGACGAGAGATGGGGTCTTCTCTGTGGTGGCCCCTCAGTTGTGGACTCCCTTCCTTTTTTATATAAATATTCTTTATTGAAAATTTCATTTTATACAGTCATTAAAACAAAGTAAAGTAGAAAGGGGTGAAAAAAAGAAAAGTAGGTAAAGAAAAGAGGAAAAAGGGGCAGCAGGCAGGGGCAATGGGAAGAGGGATGGCAAAAGGGGGGGGAAGGATATGGGAAAGGAAAGAGTGAATAAGTAAAGTAAGAGATAGCAGAGTATAGATTTAAAAGAAAAGATTGAAGAAAGTTCATTCTTCTTTCCGTTTGACTTCCAGGATTCATCGAGGTTGGTCTCTTCTTTTTCTTTCACTCCTTCTTCTCTCTTCGTCTTGTTGAATGTTTCTATTTTGACTAATATATACTTTATGTTTGTCCTAAAATCTATCCAGACCTATCTGTCTGTTCTATATCTCTTTAATCTTGTTTATTTTAGATATTCTTTAAATATTGTCCAATCTGTACCTGTCTCTGCTATTCCTTTGCTCCTTTGTAGTAGGTAGCTTAAACTATCCATATTTCTGACGTCCATTATTTTTCTTTTCCATTCCTCAATTTTTGGTATTTCTTTCTTCCTCCACAATTTGGCAAAGCAAATCCTGGCTGCCGTTGTGGAGAGAAATATTAATTTATCTGTATTTTTATCAATTTTCATATTTGTAATGCCTAATAAAAATAGTTCCGGTTCAAGGGGTATACGAATTTTCAGGATTTCTTGTAGTTTGGCCTGGATTTCCTTCCAGTAACATCTAGCTTTTTTTACATTGCCACCACATGTGGTATAGTGTTCCTTCTGCTGCACCACATTTCCAGCATTTTGGGTTTAGATTTTTATAACATTTACTTAATTTATATGGCGTCATATACCATCTAAAAATATTTTTGACCAATTTTCTTGCATGTCATATGCCTTTAAGTACTTTATTTTTTTTCCAAATTGTTTCCCATTCATCTAGTCCTATCGATCTGCCCACATTTTTTGCCCATTTTACCATACATTCTTTAACTCCTTCTTCTTCTGTGCTCCATTTCAACAATTCTTTGTATATTTTGGATATTTTTTTCTTCCCTACTTCCCATATTCTGTCCCATGTATTTCCTGTTGCAATCCAGAGCAGAGAACGAGGCCTAAGATAACTATCCACCACACTTGGCTGTGAAAAACAATCCTTTTTTATTGAAGAAAAATAGTTACAAAATAAAGGAAAAATGCAAGTCAAAAGCCACAGCAAAATCAGCAAACATGAATTTAAATGGACAAGGCAAAACCACAAGCCTCTCTGAGAAATACTTGAAGCTGTTAGCAATCCACTAACCGTACTTGATATCCTAGAAATCTTTCCATACTATGGCCAGGGAACCGGGAGAACTGCCAAGGTCTTCATCAATTCTGAAACGATGCCTGAACTGAGGGAATCAGCCTGGCGTATTGCAATTAAAACTCAAGAATCGGTTCCGTGAACCGGCCCACTGTTTTGAGGCCAATGTTTTTAATTCTTGAATTCGGGAGGAACGACGCAAACTGAGTGTTTTATTTCTGTCTTCCCAGATTTGACTCCTTCTGTTGTCATTACAGTTAACAGGTGCAGAAGGGAGGGAAAGTTCAAGGTCTCCCTCTGCAACATTCTCATTAACACTGGTACTTTCATTTTCCAAATCTACAGAAGTTCCTTCCTCACTAATTTCAGGAACATTGGCATTTTCCAAACCTACAGCAGATTCTTCCTCACTAATTTCAGGAGCATTGACATCAGAAGGTACATTTCCACTAGCATCAGTAAATATACTTTCATTAGCATCAGGAGGAACAAACAGAGAATCAGGTTCAAGTTCAAACTCAGGCTGAACCCCAACACTATCCCCCCCCAAGCCCCCCCCTTGGCCCTCCCCGAGGCCGGGGCTTGGCAGGGTAAGCTCGATGAAAGCGTGCGACAAGATCAGGAGCATGTACATCCCGAGCATCAATCCAGGATCGCTCCTCAGGTCCATACCCCGTCCAGTCGACCAGATACTGTAGTCTGCAGTGTCGGAAGCGGGAATCTAAAATGTTTTGAACTTCAAACTCCTCTTCCCCCTCCCGAAGTACTGGGGGAGGTGGCGGTCCCCTCCCTGGATCTGGACGTATCCCATCAGCCGGTCGTAGCAAAGACCGATGAAACACAGGATGAATACGCATGTCCCGGAGAAGTTGTAACTTGAAAGTCACTGGGTTGATACGAGCCAACACACGATAAGGTCCCACAAACCGAGCATCAAGCTTCCGGCAGGGTCGTTGGAGGGGGAGATGTTTGGTAGACAGCCACACCCGTCCGCCTACCTGGATCTCCGGCCCTTCCTGCCGGTGTTGGTCAGCAGCCCGTTTTTAATCCAATTTGGCTTGCTCCAGCTGTGCCTTTAGAACTTCTTGTACCGCGATTAACTCCTGAAGCCAATCTTCTGCGGCCGGAATATTCCCCAACTCTATTATCGTTGGGTAGTAGCGAGGGTGGTATCCATAGTTGGCGAAGAACTCCTGGGTGGAACTCTGCGTGGCGTTATTATAAGAGAATTCTGCCAGTGAAAGCAAGGATGACCAGTTGTCTTGTTGATAATTGACATAGCATCGTAGATATTGTTCCAAAGTAGCATTGACCCTCTCTGTTTGGCCATCCGTCTGAGGATGGTGCACGGTAGACATCCGGGCGTCAATGCCCAATAATTGTTGAACCGCCTTCCAAAACTGCGAGGTAAATTGTGCTCCTCGGTCGGTAACAAGGCTCTTGGGTAATCCGTGGAGACGAAAGATATGGTGTAGGAACAGATCCACTGTCTCTCTTGCCGATGGCAAGCCGGCACAAGGGATGAAATGCGCCATCTTGGTGAATAAGTCCACTACCACTAGGATTGTGGTATTTCCATTGGATTTTGGCAGATCTGTGATGAAATCTGCCGAGATGATTTCCCATGGCCTGGCTGGCCTGGGCATTGGTTGTAGTAAACCGGCGGGTTTGCCCACTTGATGCTTGGCCCGTTGACATACCGGACAGGTGGCCACATATTTCTCAACGTCCCGACGTATCTTTGGCCACCAAAAGTCTCACAAAATCAACTGTAGCGTCTTGAATAGGCCAAAGTGTCCCGCTGGCCGACTGTCATGACATAACTTGAGGATCTCTTCCCTCTCGGGTCCCAAGGATATGTAAACCTGAGAGCGTCGACACAGAAGTCCTTCTTTGACATGAAATGGAAACTGTACTCCCCGTACCAGCTGTTCCTGAACCCACAAATCTTGCTCTTGACGGGTTCGAATGCGTTCTGGTAGGGAAGATGCATCTGGAATCGCTGTCCTCGTCTTCCTTTGATCTGTAGGGCCTGACTGATTGGTCTTCCCAGCCACCATGGTGACTGCAAAGTTCTCAGGGCGCAACAGGGGTGACTCTGAAGTTTCTTCACGGCCTCTTGTATATTCCAGTTTTCTTGATAGAGCATCTGCTTGCTTCGTCTGTGCCAGAGTTACATAATGGATCTGGAAGTGGAAACGTTCAAAGAAGAGCGGCCAACGCTGCTGCCGTTGATTGAGCTTTTTTGCCATCCTGAGGTGCTCAAGATTGCGGTGATCTGTGTGTACTTCCACGGGGTGACGTGCCCCTTCCAGCCAATGTCTCCAGTTCTCAAAGGCCATTTTGATGGCCAGTAATTCTTTTTCCCAAATGGTGTAATTCCTCTCTGGTGTGGTCAGCTGTCTTGAATAGTAGGCGCAGGGCATTAGATCCTGTCCCGCGGGCTGCAACAACACGGCGCCAATGGCCACATCTGAA